GGATGAGGCGGGAGCGGGGCTGGCCCCTGCCCCAGAGGGGCCAGGCAGGAAGGTAGGGCTACTGCGGTTTTGGTGGGAGTAATTTGGGATGCTCAGCTGCTCCGCTTTTAAAAATAAGCCTGGGATAAAAGCTGCCAGGGTGGTGGGGAGCGCGGGAGGCAGCAGGCTGCTAGCAGAATCCCGTTAGCATGCGACAGCCTCTCGGGGTCTCAGCTACAGGCAGAAAAGCCCCTTTCAGCAAATCACTGGTGGCAGGAGCTGCCTGCTTGGGGAGGACGAGGCAGCACGTGTGCCAAAACCCAGGGAGCGGGGAGGAGGGGTCTGTCCCGGCAGGGTGCATCCAGCCCCGGAGACTTGCCCCTCCTGGCATGGAGATGCACCGGCACAAAGTGGTACCCGGTGCCTTTCTGACCTGCTCCCGTTTAACCCGTGTCCAGGCTTTGGCGGTGAGACCTGGGGCAAACCGCCGAGCTGGGTGACCAAACCTCCTTCTCCTCCTCTTCCTCAGGATGGAGCTGGCCAAGGGAGACCTCATCTCACCTGGCGCTACAGCAAGGGCAGCTCATCCCTTCTTGGGAAGGATCTGCTGGAAACCGAGCATGTGCCTGTCTCACAGTGCCAGCCCAGGGGCACCGACCCAGCTCCACCCGCCCCAGCACTGTGGGATGGGGCCACCCTCAGCCCCGTGGGCGGTGGAGCCAGGTAAGCGGGTGGTGTGGTGGCCAGTCCCACACCCAAGCACCCCATCGAAACCCAGCCGCGCTGCCGGCTTTGAGCTGGGCTGCGGGAGACAGGGGCTGTGGGCTCCGGCACACCTCGCTCCCGCCCAGTGCCTGCCTTGTCAGGTCTGATCAGAAGGAGGATCAGTCGGCCCTGCGCTCTCTCTCCAGATTTAATTAATGGGCCTTTCATCTCTACCCTGAAGGAATCTGCTATCTTCTGTCTTCTTAATTAACGTTCATTAAGCAAATCAGAAGAACGTTTTCTCCTCACCGCCTCCATGGCTCTTAACCCTTGCGGGGTGCCAGGTCCGTGCCGGGGCAGGAGAAGGCTCCTGGGCTATGATGGCAGGTTGGGGCAGCACATGGACACCAAAGCCTTGGACACCATATCTCCACTACGCTTGAACCAAAGTCCTGGGGCAGTGGGTGAAGTCTCTCCAGGTACAGAGGACTTCAGCTGAGGTTGGGCCCTGCTATATCAGTGGGCTGGGGGCAAATCCCAGCTCTGATCACTCTTATGGACACCCTCGTTCAAGCTTGTCCATGTCCCTGGAAGACAAGGGGTTTCCTGTAACCAGCTTTAGCTCTTCATCCCATCCAGGGGTGAAGCTCACTCATGGCAATGTGATGCATCTGTGCGTGAAGGTTTCGCTGTGAGAAGTCACCGTCCAAACCTGGTAGGCATCGCAGTGCAGGAAAGATGTGTCCAGCATCTTGTTCTCAGGAAAAGGGGATTATTTGGGGCTACTCCTGCCCCTTCTCTTGCAGACTGAAGTTGGATGTGATGGGTTTTTGCCTCGTCCTTGGTGGACACTCATGGGGGACAGGGTTGGACCAAGACCCTTGGCTGACCATCTTCCTCCTGTGAGCCACAGCAAGGGGGTTGCCAGTGGCCAGGACTGGGGCGGGGGGGTTATGTGAGAGAAGGGGTCTCCCACCTCCCCAGTTTGCCCTCAGAGATGACCCAAGGAAACCTGACTGGCGGGAGCCGCAGTTCTGTGCCTGCGCATGGGAGAGGAGCTGAGCTTTTCCAGCCAGCCTTCAGTCCGAGTCACCAGCAGCAGCCGTTCCCGAAGCAGTGCCAGACCACGAGCCGGGGCCGGATTGTGCCCGGAGCACCCATCCCATGCATGGCAAGTGTAGGGCATCGCCTTGGGCAGGCAAGGGCTTGTGCCCAGCACCCGGCAGGAGCCTGGCGGGGGGCCTGCCCAGCCTAGGGTGCAGCTGAATCAGCCTGGGGACGTGCTGCTCCCACACCGGCTGCAACATCCCCATTGCTGGGCACGGCGGTGTCACCACCGATTCCTGTCAAGCTCTGGCCCCATGGGCCATCCCCCCCCTCCCTCCTGGAGGAGGAGGCGGGGTTGGGATACTCTCATCAGCTTCGCTCAAATCCTCTGTGCATGCCATGAGCAGCCATGAAGCCCTGGTTGCGTGGTCTCATCACTCTCTAACATGGACCCCTCTGCAAGAGGGCATGGCCCGGGCAGGGAAATCATCTCCTGGGTGTGTATAACATCCTGAGGAGGAGGTGGCAAACCCATGACAAGAGAGGGCCTCTACTGCCCAGAGCTTGCAGCCTCAGTAGCAAGGGGAAAGCAAAACACCTGGAAAACCTGATCCCTGCCAGATGCAAATCCCCTTAAAACTGGTGGTGGAGATGCGCAGGGCAATTATTGAGCTGAAAACCCTTCTCTTTCTCCCCCGAGGTTGACAGTGGGTTTGCCACTGGCTGCCCACTCCCAGGCAGCTCATGCACAGCTCCTTGGTGCTGGGAAATTCGCCCTTCCCAGCGGAGCTGGCTCTGGCTGTCAGAGCCTGGGTCAATATATGGTAATAGGGCTTTGAAACAGTGCTGCTGTGGGAGCCGCTGCCGAAGACTCTGATTCACAGCTTCCCTCTGGTGCTTTCTCCCTGCAGTGTGCACGGAGAAGGAGAATAACATAAATAAGAGTAGAAGGGAAAGGGAGGAAGGGAACTTAAATTATAAATGAGGGCTAAGTTTCCAGGGCTCCTGCGGGCAGCTCAGCTGAGCAATGTAGGGGGCAGAGGCGGCAGTCCCCCATGCACCCCATTTTTGCAAACACCCCCCTGGAGAGCGGGACTGGCGGAGGTCAGGGTCTGCCCAGGAGCATGGCACTGTGCTAGCTTGCCTATCTCCCTGTTTGCTGTCACCCTCCTGTCCCCATGGGTCAAATCTGGAGGGTGCCATAGTCCCAAAAGGGATCCCCTCTGGCACAGACTGTAATTAGCGTTACCTGACAGGTTGCTAACGAAGTCTGGTGACGGTCTGGTTTTGCCACCCCATGGAGATGCCTCCACAGGGATGTGCCCTGGTCCGGGGACTGGGCTGCCCCGTGGCAGCAGGCAGGGATGGGACCCCCACTTGTGGGTGCTGGTATGGAGGCACTGGGGGGTGTCACAGACCCACGACCCAGCCAGGTTGGTGTGAGTGCGGGAGCAGTGGGGTCCCCATAGATCAGTGTGGGGGGAGAAGAGGGTGCTGGGGTGGTAGTGGGTCTGCCTTTCCTCCACCCCCTTTTGATTTTGGGGCTGCAAGAAAATTTGTGACCCCCACTAATTTAAGGAAAAACCCACATGTGGGGCATGAATCACCACAAGCTCATCCCCGCGGTTGAGAAATGGAGGAGCTCAGCTCCATCCGTGCAGCCAAAGGTGCAAACCCCGCCCCTCCCCAAAGTGACAGGGCTGGGGTGGATCCCGCTGGAGGGGTCCCATCCTGCCCGGCCCCGCGGCCTGGGGACCAGGGTGGCCTGGGGGAAGCCCAAACCCCGTAGCCTGGGCTCGTACACGAAGCTTTCGACACTCCCAGCAGCTTCCACAAGATGGACCTCGGAGCGAGAGGAGGTGCCGGGCAGGGGGACCCGTCCCATCCCGTCCTGTCCCATCCCATCGTGTCCCATCCCGTCCCGCCTGCTCCCGCCATGCCATCTGGAGGAGGCTCAGAGTCCGGTCAGGCGAGCCCCGGCATGGCTGAGCTGCCCGGGCTCTGCCTGCTGGCCCTGCTGGGGCTGGGGC